CCAGGGCCGGGTTTCTCAAACTTCTGAGTTCATTGATACCCCTGTCAAAAGTTGTCAAGGCCCCAGCCCAAATTTTTAGGTGTATAAATGAGATCAAGTCAAGGAATATCAAAATATATGTCAGCATTTAATCATCACCAATCAGTTGCCGTTGCTAGGAATTGTAAAACATAAAAAGTGCAGGAGAGGATACTCTTGTATCATGGAATCATCTTATTAACTACAAAGGCTTCTCATTGGCAAGGGAGGTGAACCCTGTACATGCCCACACTTTTTATTTCTGAGGCTTATTGTTTTGTAATTCTAAAAAAATATTTGCGGCATACCGTGTAAACGTCTTTTCTACCTCAGACTTTTTTTTTAACCCCCTTTCAACCCCTAGGTCTTTTTTCACCCCACGTGCAGTCCCATCGACCTGGGGTGTGTGTGTGTGTCAATATCGACCCTGTGGTAGGGGTTTGGATGCATCTTTTGAAAAGAGTTGAGCAGCAGCAGAGCTTCTGTCTGAATCTGCTGAGCCTGGGGGCCAGAACGCAGCCCTGGTTGCCTGCCTGCCTGCCTGCCTCTTTCTGTTCAGAGTGTTCTTATGAAGACCACACAGCGTCTTTTTTGCTATACCTCTTTCTGGGCAGGGAGCCATTGTACAGAAAGGTGTTGGAATAAAGGGATGGGTTTAGCGGCTTGTTTTTCTCACTATAAACCCAACTGTGGGAATAAAAAGAGCTGGGATTGCAGAAAAGATTACACAGAGCCGCCTGTATTTTGCAACTCGGCGAGCATTGATTCCTATTCATGCATTTCCCCTCCCTTTACATAATAAAAGTGCGCTTCATCTTTCCTTGTCTCGCTGTGAACTCCATAGAGGGAGAAGACAATACAGTGGCATATTCCAGCTGCAGGATGTTACTGGTTTGAAATAGATTCTATGTATGCAGTGAGCATCTAGGTATGTTGTAACATGCATACACGTCCTTAAGAGGAAAATTAGGTCAGATAAATTCAGGTTGACCTTCAAAGTGCATATGATTATGTATGGTTGGCTAGGGTTTCTTCAGGCTGGTATTTAACCACTATCCCTGTGGCCACTGGCAATCGGGAATTGCATGTAGGCGAATAAAGGTGATGTTGCAGGTAGGACAGAGCACTCCATCTTTCCCAGCATCAAACCCAAGCACTCTGCTCCTCCACTGGCAGCCCACAGCAATTTAGAGGATCTTTCTTTTCTTTTGTAGGTTGCTAACTTTTATTCACCTGCCTGAATGTCATCTCCTTCTCCTACATCACCTTCTACATATATGTATTAAGGCAATGTATGTATGCAAAATAATAATAAAAAGCTTTAAAAAGTTAAAAACAGGAGAGAACATAATAGCAAATTAATTAAAAATAAATAAAAGGAGACATCCATGGCAGAGACCTGTTCATTCAGCTGGGGAAGCCGCCTAGAACAAAAATGCCTCCAGTTGTTCTGGAAAATATCTAGACGGAGATGCTGTTCCACAGAACAGGGCAGCCACACTAAAAGCCCTACTCTGAGTTACTGCAGAGCAGTCTTTTGAGACCTTTGGAACTCGCAGGAGAAGCTTGACCACAGTGCCCTACTGCGTGTATAAGGGACAAAGCTAGATTCTCAGGTAACCTGCTCTTGGCCAGGGGTCCGCAACCTTTTTCAGCTGTGGGCCAGTCCACCATCCCTCAGACCATGTGGTGGACTGGACTATTTTTTTGGGGGGGGTGAACAAATTCCTATGCCCCACAAATAACCCGGAGATGCATTTTAAATAAAAGTGCACATTCTACTCATGTAAAAACACCAGGCAGGCCCCACAAATAACCCAGAGATCCAACTCCACCTGGTACGCAGGCTGAGACCCTACCTGCCCGCGGACTGTCTTGCCAGAGTGGTGCATGCTCTAGTTATCTCCCGCTTGGACTACTGCAATGCGCTCTACATGGGGCTACCTTTGAAGGTGACCTGGAAACTACAACTAATCCAGAATGCGGCAGCTAGACTGGTGACTGGGGGTGGCCGCCGAGACCACATTAACACCGGTCTTGAAAGACCTACATTGGCTCCCAGTACGTTTCCGAGCACAATTCAAAGTGCTGGTGTTGACCTTTAAAGCCCTAAACGGCCTCGGCCCAGTATACCTGAAGGAGCGTCTCCACCCCCATCGTTCTGCCCGGACGCTGAGGTCCAGCGCCGAGGGCCTTCTGGCAGTTCCCTCATTGCGAGAAGCAAAGCTACAGGGAACCAGGCAGAGGGCCTTCTCAGTAGTGGCGCCCGCCCTGTGGAACGCCCTCCCATCAGATGTCAAAGCGATAAACAACTACCTGACATTCAGAAGACATCTTAAGGCAGCCCTGTTCAGGGAAGTTTTTAATGTGTGATATTTTAGTGTATTTTTGGTTTCTATGGAAGCCGCCCAGAGTGGCTGGGGAAACCCAGCCAGATGGGAGGGGTACAAATAATAAATTATTATTATTATTTTAAATAAAAGGACACATTCTACTCACGTAAAAACATACTGATTCCCGGACTGTCTGTGGACAGGATTGAGAAGGCGATTGGGCCGCATCCGGCCCACAGGCTTTAGGTTGCCTACCTCTGCTCTTGACTATAAGTTTCCCCACAGCTGATTCCAGGGACCTGTTTTAGGGAATGTTGGTTCATGGCTAATCAATCAGCAAAGCATTGATTGAAAGCGATTATTTTCCTCAGCTGGAGAGGTCCTCAGAGCGACTGACATATCAGCTGAAAGCAACGTGGTTCCTGCTCTCAGGCTTTGCAGTGTAAAAAGACATGATACAAAAGGAAAAAAGGATTTGGGGGAGAGTAGAGGAAAACAAGCAAACGGGCAGCAGATTCTTAATGTTACAAGATTCTTAAAATAAGCAGATGGAAGCAGGCTGCTCAGAGATCAGTAACAATTATTTGTGGGCCCCTGAGAAATAGCTTTCCACCCCAACCTACCTAGAAGTAGCTGTAATAAACCTGGAAGTTGCTGACCTTTCATATTGGGCCTCAAGTCTTCTGGGGGAAGCAAACCTTCTTGGCATAAGTAGCAATGCATGTAAGCCCTGAGGTGTGGAAAATGCTTTCTTTAAAACCTCCTTTGACCCAGAGCTGGTGTTATGGATGATGTGTCAGATGGGTGGCAGGGAGACCTGTGTTCAAATCAGTACTCAGCCACGCAGCTCACTACTTATGGCTTGAGTCCGTTCCATGGTTTTCTGTTGACTTACTGAGTTGTTGCATGCTATCCTGAGCTTTGGAGGAAAAGTGTGGGATAAATTCACCTTAAGTAAATAAAACCTTAAAAGGTAAAGGGGACCGCTGACCATTAGGTCCAGTCGTGAACGACTCTGGGGTTGCGGCGCTCATCTCGCTTTATTGGCCAAGGGAGCCGGCGTACAGCTTCCGGGTCATGTGGTCACCATGACTAAGCCGCTTCTGGTGAACCAGAGCAGCACACGGAAACGCCATTTACCTTCCCGCCGGAGTGGTACCTATTTATCTACTTGCACTTTGATGTGCTTTTGAACTGCTAGGTTGGCAGGAGCAGGGACCGAGCAACAAGAGCTCACCCTGTCACGGGGATTCGAACCACCAACCTTCTGATCGACAAGTCCTAGGCTCTGTGGTTTTAACCCACAGCACCACCCGCGTCCCAAATAAAACCTTAGCTTTCATTTAATTAAAAAAGAAATGTTATTGTACTTCTTTTGGAAAGGAAAATGTAAAGGAAAACACTTACTGCCAAAGATGCTGCCTCCCAACCATAAGAGTATAAATGTTTGTAGCTGGCACCCACGCTGTTGGCATTTTCCCCAAAATAAAGGTTGACAGCTTAGCACTAAGCTTAGTTAGCAAAGGTCCAACCCTCAGGAAATTTATTTCAGGGCCACAGAGTTAAAAAAGAAAAGAAAAGAAAGAAGCAGCAGGCCTCGCAGTGCCAAAGCTGAGAGCAAAACCCTAAAATACCTAGTCTTGCAAGTTAAGGTGTCCAAGAAATCTTTAGCCCAAGGCTTTCCTAGGTGTGCCTCTTAGATGTTAGTGGTGAGTCCCATGCTGAGCAAAGGAGCCAGGAGGGCCCATTGGGCTAAGAACTGCTGCTGGAGGCCAGAATTGGAGTTAAAATAGAGTGGCATTCTCTGCATGCAGCTAGATGGCAGCCTCTTGCTGGAGACGTCCTTTGGATCAAACACTGAACAAACAAAGGTGGGGGCGGAATCAGATCCCTTTTGCCACCACAATTTCCGCCCCCGTGCTTTTTGGGCACTGACATTTCAGATTGGGCACGCACGTTCTCTGGCTTCACCCTAGGGTGTCTTTCTGAAATGAACAACACAACCAGGATTGGTGTGTGTCTGTGTGTGTGTGTGTGTGTGTGTGTGTGTGTGGTGCGGTGCTGGGGAAGGTTCTTGATTCATGCAAGCTGTAAGCAGACACAGACTCGGTTTCTTTTTAAAAGGCTTTTCCCATTAGGCAAAGGCTGAACAGGGAGCAGCTGAGGCACCATGTCACTGTGTGTCATTCTTCACATTTTGCAAAGGGTTGCTTCCCATGCTGTTGCTGATCAAATGACTTGGTTTTAACATTGTTTTTGGTTTTGGGGTGCACCAAGTTTCCATCTTAAAATTCCATTCTTAGCAGATGGGGAAAATAGCCCCCAGAGCCGACTTTACGAACCTGCCGCCCTCCAGATGTCCTGAACTTAAAGCTCTTCTCCCCACCCCACCCCACCCATTCTGGTCTGGGATGATGGGAGTTATAGTCCAAATAGCAAAGATTGCTCTGGAGTCTTGCTGGAGGCTGGAGGGATTTTTCCCTGCACCGTTTTGAAATGGCATTAAAGACTAACCAGACATTCTGTGGTTTTATTCCCAGTTGTGCTCTCAAAGCAGTGGCTGTACATGCTCACCCAGTACAGGGAGGGTGTGCGTTGCACCACTTGGTTCCCCTTACTCACTGGTGGTTCTGTATCTTTCCATTGCAGGCGGTTGAACAGCACACAGGGTGAAATCCGGGTTGGGCCTAGTCATCAGGTAAGACTTCCTTACATAATGGAAACATCCAGTTACTGAACTGTCTCTTTCTGGCCATCTGTGATCTGCAACTCTCAAGGTGTCATCCACGTCCCCCTAAGCGTGCTGCGGTTGAAGAGGGAGGTTGACGCCACGTCAGGATGCTCACAGATCTTTGTGTACGAAGTGCATCTTGATCCAGGGCCGCCCAGGCGTTCTGTGACACTGCATCAGTTAAGGGTCTACAACCCTTCTGCCCATACAGACCAACAGTGACCATTGGCCCACAAACATTTATTTATTTGAAAATATTTCTATATCATCCGCACACACAAACTCACTATCAAGGCAGTGAACACTGTAAGAGCTATTACTCATCCTAGCTGCCTGTGCCTTGAGCCCGCTAGAAAGCACAGAGTGGTCTTGGGAGGGGAAGGGTCTTCCCTCACTTGTTTTGAAAGCAGCCGCTCAGTCACTGACAGGACCGTGTGTGACTAAGAGAATGAGTTCTGGACCTGGAGGCCCCTGGCTCAAATGTCACCTCTGCTATGAATTCACTAGGCTCACACCTGCTCATCATTCCACCCTACCCAGTGAACCATAGGAACAGTAGCTCTCAGAGAGGTATTATTTCCAGCACCCTTAAAAAAAAAAAAAAAGTTCCCAGGATTCTTTGTGTTTTAAATGTGCTTTAAATGTCTGGTGTGGATAGTATCTAGTTGTCCTTAAGCAAACCACGAAGGTTCAGACGTCCCCTCTGTTCCCATGTGGTGATAATACTACTGACCCGCCCTGCAAGGTTGTTGCATGAACACCCAAACGCATTATATAAGTGCCAAGTGGTATTTATCATGTCACCGTTTCCCCCTCTTTTACCACTAGTCTCTTCAAATCCTATAGCATCCCCTGGAGGCAAGCAGCCTTTTTGTTTCCTTTTCCTTTCTTCAAAAAAAGCAGCCCTGCAGGGCTTAGGTTGTTGCGTGCTCTGCACAGTAAGCCTTCTGGGACTCGCTCCCTTGAGTGCCTTATTTGAAAGCTTCCTTGCCGAGCAGAATAATCCCTTCTCTCAGTGTAAAACGGCTTAATTTTTATTAAATAGCATTTTGAATGAGGGCTTCGAGGGTGCGTGCCAAGGTACCCTTTTTACATCTGTATATAATGCTGTACTATTTTGGACACCTCTCAGGTTGGAATCTTGTCTTTCTCGCACTTTGCTTCTCAGTCCCATTAAGGGCAGGATTGGAGAGACCACTTTGGTGCATCTCTCTCTCTCTCTCTCTCTCTCTCTCTCTCTCTCTCTCTCCTGTGTTTTATGTGTGTCGGAGAGTTTTAAATGCTCATAATGCCACAGGCTTTGCTGCAGAATGATCAAGTATATCCCTGAGGTGTTGCTGAAATTTGTAGGAAAATTCCTACCCAAATAAGGTTGTTTAAAATTGTAATCTATTTCATTCTGCTCATGGGCAGTAAAGTGTGATGAAGTGTACTGGGGACTGCCAGAGCTCTCCAGCTACGGATGTGCAGGTGTGTCCATGCAAAAAGATAATACAGGTTTAACTACCTTTTGCCACCTGTTAGCCAGATGTTAGGAAGCTGCCTTACAAACATTTCAGACAATTCAGCCTTCTAGCTCAGGGATAGCTTACTGCGATGGTTGGTGATTTTCTTGGGCAGGGAGAGGTATTGCCTATCATGCCTGTCACCTGATCCTTTATAACTAGAGATTGAACAAGGTACCTTCTGCATGCAGTCACCTCGCCGCTCAACTGTGGTCCCTCCCAAATTCCAGGATAATTGTACATAAAAAGAGACCTGGTGTGGTGTAGTGGTTGGAGTCTTGGACTAAGACCTGGGAGCCCAGAGTTCTAGTCCCTGCTCAGCCACTGGGTAGCCTTGGGACAGTCACTGTCTCTTTGGCCTAACCTACCTCACAGGGTTGTTATGAGGATAAAATGGAAACGTGGGAGAACCGTTTACACCTTCTTGAACTCCTTGAAGGAAAGGTTGGGTATAAATGTAATAAATAGGGAAAAACTGATACATTGGGGCTCTTTGGGTGGTATTCAACTAACCCAGGGGTCTGCAACCCGCGGCTCCTGAGCCGCATGTGGCTCTTTTACACCTTTGCCGCGGCTCCGGGGCAGATACTAGCGAGGGGAGGAGGCGCATTGTACGCCCCGACACTCTCCACTGTGGCGGGCGCTGTACTGGCTGTGATGTCTCATGGGGGCGGTACGTGCGTTAGTCACGCACCGTCCCGACGTCACCTTCACGCCCGCTGTCAGATCGCGGCTCCGGAGATATATTTGTTTTAAATGTCGCAATGGTTTTGCGGCTCCCAGGTTTTTTTTCTTCAGAAACGGGTCCAAGTGGCTCTTTTTGTCTTAAATGTTGCAGACCCCTGAACTAACCTATCCCATCAATGCAAGGATTTCTCCTTGCACAATGGGACTCCCTCCCACTCCCCAAATCTGCTCCAGAGAACTGGGAAAACTGGAACAGATTTAAGATAATACAGAGGGGAGGAAGGAGACGGGGAAGAATGTTCTGTTGCAGAAGCAGAAATTATTGTGCTGACAGAAAATTCACTTAGCCCAACATTGGGTTCCACCCTGCATATAACAACCAAACAAACCCAGCAGTCTAGCAGAAATTGCCTTGTTTCTGAATATACATACTTCTACAGGATGATTTCATCTTGGGAGGTGGCATATCAGACACATTCACATAGGATGGGGTCTGTCAGCATCCATTAGCCATGATAGTTACATGGAGACTCCATATTCAGAAGCAGTATATCTTTTAATCGTGGTTGCTGGGGGGAAGCAAAGAAAAGGGCGCAGGAGGGCTGCTGCCTTCATTCCTTGCTTGGGGTCCTCTCGGAGGCATCTGGTTGGCCACTGTTGTAAACAAATGCTGGATTAGACGGACCTTTGGCCTGATCCAGGTGGGCTACTTTTATATTTGTGTGACGAGGACCTTGAACCCAACCCCTAGATTTAAACAGAGTTGGTTGCATTTTTGGACTGTCCCAACCTGTTGCATTATAAAGCTGGCTTGGAAATAATTCACTCACCTATGGCAAGTTAATTATCGACTCCAGGTGACTAGGCAGGAAAGTTTTTCAAACATTAGCTCCCTGCTTACAGGCTATGATAATTTTTATAGAAAGGTAGGCTAGAATTTTGTGTGTATTTGTGTGCTGAGGCAGGGTAGACTAATAACTTTTGGTAGACTGACTTGGAAGACTGCTCTAAAGGGATACTTGCATTGTGAGAGTGTTGCTTTTCCACATTGACCACTACAGATGAAGGAGGACTGGTTTTCTGTGCTTCACCTCCTCCTTTTACTGGGTATTCTTGGGGTGCCTTCACAGCTTCTTGTTCTGCTGGCACTATTTCAGGAAGGTAGATAAATATGTCTATTTTCAGGTCCATTTTTGGCCTTTGCAGGCATACATTAAAGCGTCGGAGCATGCCCATTTACTTCCAGTCCCTCTTGATGCAAGTTACAGCCACTTTATAACATACCAGTGGTGGAGTTTGATGCATCATTTTCTTCCCTCTGGAGAAAAAGACCAGAGGAAAATACAAGTGGAGTGCTAGAATGTCTTCCGAACCTGTGGCATGTAATTACTGGTTAGATGTATCTATATGTATCTATATCTATATAAAATATAGCCTTTCAGATGTGCTTTGCATTGTAACCGTGAGAGGTAATTACAGGCTTGAAAAGCTTTTTACTGTCTTGCAACCGTTGCTGTCAATGATCAAGGCTGCTAATTGAATCCTGCAGCAAGCGCACAGTGTGCCTTCATGCCACAGCACATTCTCACACTCTGGAAATGCCTGTGGGGTCAGTTGGGGGGGGTCCTGTTATCTCCAGGTCCAAGATGCAGTGAATGTAGGGATATGAGCAGGGCCAGATTTAGGTTTGATGAGGCCCTAAGCTACTGAAGGTAATTGGGCCCTTTATATGTCCAGCTGTCCTTTGTCAACAACAAATTGTCGCTGTTTTTTGTGTTGAATATATGCTCTATATATATATTATATATTATGGACCTAGTAGGTATCTAAAGCCATTTGCACATAACAAATAGGAGCCTACGCAACACAAAACATTGTTGCTGTATGTAGGTTTTATTTTATTTGTTTTTTGTCTTATATTTTGGAAATGTACATCCAGGTTTTTCCCCTTTACATTTTTTAGGGGGCCCCAAGAGAGTGGGGCCTTAAGATACAGCTTGTTTAGCTTATACGTAAATCCAGCACTGGATATGGGACTGCAGGGGTCTAGACAGAGGAAGAGGATATTTCGGGCAAATTACCGTAGGTCTCCAAGGAGGCTATGTAATTCAGCTTCGCCTCTGCTTTAGGAGATAGTGATCAAGCAAATGACCTGCCTCTTCCTCAGCTGTGAAATGGGCATGGTGGAAAGGGTGGGAAACAAGCACAATGCCACATTCCAAACACACACACACACACACACACACACACACACACACACAAAAGCCACCTTCATTTGGTCACCTAAGGCTGTTTTTCACACTAGGGGCGAGTATTTTACATGTCCATTTCTGCTTGCTTTATAAAATGTTTGGTAGAGCTCGAAAATCCAATCCAGTGTCTCTGCATGTGTGCTAACAAGCATCCTCTTGCTTCTGCCTCTTGAATTCCCCCCCCCCTCAAGGCAAAACTCCCAGAGCTGCAGCCGTTCCCTTCCGGAGACAGTGACACAGTGACGCAGCACGAGGAGCTTGTGTGGATGCCTGGGGTCAATGACTGCGACCTGCTCATGTACCTGAGGGCGGCACGGTAACGTGAAGCAAACATATCTCCCTCGTCCCTGCAGCGGGGAGTTGCTGCTTCAGGCGGCAGCATCCTGCTCAGAGATTGAAGTCTAAATTCCCGCATGCACAAAGGATTCCACATCTTGCGCTCGGGATAAATCTCCCAATCTTGTGGTGTAGCATAAATTTTAATTTGCTCAGCTGCAACTCCTGCAAAAACTGAGCACTGTTGTCAGCAGACTTTTAGAAGCATAGGGAAGTGCCTTATTCTGTGTCAGGCTGTTGGTCCATCTAGCTCAGAATTATCCACATTCGCTGTCAGGGAGTCTCTCACAGCCCTACCTGGAGATGATGGGGATTGCAGTTTCTCCATCCCAAGGCAGTTGCTCTCCCAATGAGTTACAGCTTTTCTTTTCTTTTTTGAATACTCTTCTTGCATTTTTAGGCAAACGCAATAACAGTTCTTTTTCTGTCCTTTCAAGGAGCATGGCAGCTTTTGCTGGGATGTGTGACGGAGGATCCACGGAAGACGGGTGTGTCGCAGCCTCCCGCGATGACACTACTCTCAACGCACTCAACACAGTAAGTCTTCTGCTGTCGTGCCATTAACTTTGCGCTAATCTTGAAATAGTTTGCTGTCCCCCAACCCCCATCAACTTTGGGTTACTCCATGGGTCTTTGGTGCCTTCCAAAATGTGAGAATCATCTTTCTGGTTTGCTTTTCCATCTTTTAATGGTGGGTCATGGGATTGGCTGTATACAGAAGCATATTGTCTACTCTACCCCAATCTGGTGCCCTCCAGACGCAGCTGATGGGAATTGAAGTGCAAAACAGCTGGAGGATGCTAGGATGATGAAGGCGGGTCAACCTTGAGCAGTAGCAGCTTTCTTAAAGCTGCAAGCAGGGGTCTTCCCCAGCCCCAATACCAGAACACTTGATGGTTTTTCAGAATTGGGAAAAGTGGGACTTGAACCCACAAGCTAAAGGTACTTCTTATGTCTAAATACACTGTGCCCCTGCAGTTTTGGGCTTTTATTGGACTTTTTGTTGTTGTTGTTGTTGTTGTTGTTGTTGTTGTTAGGCACAACACAATACATTGACCTCAGTTTCCCTGTGATTTTGCACTTACATTTCCCTAGCTCTCACTTGGGATGGGATGCTATCTGCTTCTGTGAGTTTTCCAGCTTTTAGCTTGCTCCATCACTTCTCACATAGAAGCTGTGATTTCTGCAGGAAGACCCGCTAATCACCAAAGAGCTTTGTGAATTCAGCTTTTTACCATGGCCTCAGCTACAGTGCCACAGAGACTGGGTGTTCATATCCTAACCTCTCCCTGCTACCCACTCCTTTTCTAATTACATTTCTAATCCCATTGCACTCTGGAAGCTTGATGTTGCAGGAATCATCTTTATTACTTCCATTGGTGGCCATTTAGTAGCCACAGATCTTGGCAGGGAAAATCCAAATACATAAATATGTGGACTCACCTGTGCAACTAACATGGTGCACTAGTGAAAGCCAGTGCAAGGGCTCCCACAAGTGGAACAGGGCTCTCCTCCCCCAGCTCACTTTTAATAGCATACACTTAATGCGTTTCCTTTCCTACTGACCTCACTGTTGACAATTCTTCCACCACACCCTGTATACAACTTGTGTACACCACCACTCTGTGATGACTCAGGATAAGACTAAATTCATCGGATAAAGTGGACTTCAGTCCATAAAAGCTCATTACATTTGTTTGTCTTTAAGATCCTCAATGCTGTTCAATAACATAGCTACCTTCCTGGAAACAGAACAACTGCAGAATTAAACCTGTTTTGTTTTAAAGAAGCAATTATAAATATAAAAACACTATAAAAGAACAACAGTGCATGCATAAAAACACTTCAAGTCCAATACCAACTGGGTAAAGATTTTAGAAGGCTTATTGAATTTATTTATTTATTTTTATTTAGAGCATTAGAACCTTGCCTTTCAGCCAAAAAGGCTCCCAGGGTGGCTTACATATAATCAGTTAAAACAAAACAGTCTGTACCCAGAGGAATACAAACTTGAGGGGGGAAACATGACACACAAGGGTAAAGCAACAGGGAGGGAAGGGGGTGGGAATCAGACACAGACCACCAATGCTTAAATCGCTGTTCTTATAATGACCAGGTGACACAGCTCAGGGGGCAGGAGGTGAGTGATGAAGCTGGGCCTCCAGCAGAGCTGATGAAATGAGCCCTGCTGCCTATCTCAGACTGTAGAGAAGGCTCCAGCTTGATAACGCAACCAAAGGGCGTTCTAAAAAAATATATTGCCATATTGCAGATGGGGTAGCTGAGATTGAGAAGAGCCAGCAAAAGTACCCTGCCATACGGCAGGGTGAAGCAACTTTATTGAGGTGGTACTGTAGCTTGGGAGAGCAGGGAATGCATCAAGACCTGAAGTGTTCAGCAAGGAGGGGTGCAGCTTGGACTCTTCTCCAGGCAGCAAAGTGTCTTGTGCCAGTGTTGATGTGCAGAGAGGAGCATTTTCCCTGAAGCTCATTTTAGTAACTTAGGTAAAAGAGTTGACTTGGAGGTTTCATGGTTCACAAGCCAGACACGCTACCTCTGTGCTGACGTTTTCAACAACAGGTAGCCACAGTGCATAATTCTCTTCCACATAAATAATATAGAGCACTACTTGCTTGCTTGCTGGATTCGTCTGCTGTAGATTTGTGAGAAGCACAGTAGGGGCCCAGCAGTGTCTGTGCATCACAATGGTAGTTACTGAATATCACTAGAGCTGAGCAGGTATTGAGATCTGAGTGGTAATCTAGATGGTGGCCCCTGCAAGGCCCAAATAAGAGCAGGAGATGTGTGGAATACCTTCGTTTGTTTTTTTTAAAGAGAAAATAGCAGCACAGCAAGTTTTGGTAACACTGGCAGGATTTTTAGAGCTGGTTTTTTGCAGCTGAATTCAGCCTGAATTTTGCTTTTGATAAATTTCTGCAGCAGTATCAAGTTTACCTTTCCCACTGGAGGCTGAACTCCTTTTTTTATTATTGTGTGCGTGTACTATAAAAACAAAATAGACAAGTCATCTGTAAAAGGATTATGAAAAATGAAAAGTGGGTGTAGATAGATAGTAATGAAAACAACAACCAGTACTTCAAATAATTTTTTTTGTATATTATGATTTATGCAAAAATTGTTCAATTCAGTTGTGTACTTTTTGATGTCTTGTTTACTGTTTATGACTAATTTTGCTATGTTTGTAGCAGTGTTTTAATACGTTGTGAGTCTCCTTTGAGCATGGCTTTAACTTTAGAAAGGCGTCGTAGAAATAGAATGGTTGACGGATGGTTGAAAGCAATATTTGAAATGCCTGGCTACTTAAGTGGCATTTTAGACTGCTCCACGGGCTTTTCAGCATAAATGATTGTTCAAGAGATGCCTGGAAGTCAAAAGTGAGTGTACCTGCCATATCACCACTTGGAAGAGTGTCCCACGGCAAAGGGACAGTGGTACTAAATGCCGGACTTCTGGTGAAGGCCAGTAAGGCCTCTCTGACGTTGGGGGGGGGCAACAAACAGTGAATGAGCTGGACTATAAGGGTTCAGTTGGTCCTTGTCCCAGAAGGATATGGGCAGCCAGGGCAGATGTTTTAGCAGGTGTCACATACGATCAGCTGCTATCAGCAGTCTAGCCACAGCATTCTGCACCCGCTTCTATGCAGTCTTGGTCCCTTTTCTACTTTATGGAATAGCTGTAAGGGACAGAAGATGACATCACTTGCTAGGAGATGCTCCAGGCCACAGGGCTACGATTAGTACTAACACTACGATTAGTACTAACACTTGCCCCTACATTGCTTGGCTTTCCTGGGCTCAGAGCTGAGCAGGTCTGGGGTGGCGCTTGGCAAAGCCCGACAGCAATGAGGCAACCCTTTGCTGGCTTGGCCCGCCTTCCTCCTTCCTTTCCTCTTTGTGGGTTGAGGATCAGTCCTCGTGAGTCACTGGCAAGCGGCTCATGTTGTACCAAGGGGGTGTGCTCCTGCGCCTTCAGAAATGATAATATGCAGCCCCAAAGATTAATGGTAAAAAATTGATATGCTCTATGATTTCTTATTATGGAAATGCAATAAACTTCAGAGCAGCACTTCACATAAATCAGTCCTGACAAGCTTCTTTGCTAGTGTTTTATTTATGTAATAACAGGGTGCTGTAACCCTCAGTATGATTTATTGTTAATTACACCCGATAGAAATGAAGAGCAGGGGAAGTTTTCGCTGTGCAGCGTTTATATTATCTAGTCGAACAACTCCTTCCAGTGATTATTTGCTTAATAGCATGGGTAAATTTTTCCAGCTTTTTTATATTTTATTCCTTCTGTGGCTCAGGCTTTGATGGGCGCCCCCCCCCAAAAAAACTGGTTTCATTTTAATGCTTTTCGCAGCAAATCAAGTGGGACAGAAATTGTTTGTTCTGGTAATTATCAGCCCCCTTTTGTGCTCAGTGCTTCCCATCAAGGTGGAAGGCAGGTTAATGAATGAGGTGTGTGGCTGACTGGGGGCCAAACAAGATACGACACTGCAATTAGCAATTGTATGAATGACTTCTTCTTGTTTTGAGTGTTAATAGTGAACAAGAGGGACCTCAATTAGTACTGTGGTGTTGCGGGGCAGAACAACAGGGATGCTGGATTAAAACCCCCACCCCCAGTCAAGGTCCCAATCTGAATCCCCCACCCCCATTTACTCTGTTATTTAGTTATTTATTGTATGAAATGGGAAGTGGAGAATTTCTGGCCTGTGCACTGATCTTGGCGCACCAAGGAGTCAAATTGGCCCAAACCTGCTAATCAGATTCTGCATTGGCTGTGTGCATCTGGTCCCTACAGTGGACTGGTGCACACAGGCAAAGCCGCAGGATTTTACCCTCACTTACCAGCGGAGGGGGGTGTTAAATCCTGCTCAGTATGGCTGCAACTGCTGGGAGATGTATAATTTCCTTTCCCGTTCTACAAAGGCAGCTTAACATTTTAGAAGCAAACCTATAAACAGTGAGCCCACCATACAAGAACACAAAAGTTCAGCATGATTAATTAATCAATCACCACATTAAGCAGAAACGCTTGTTGAAAAAGGACAGGGGAGCCAACTTGGGCCCCAGGTCATGGGTGCCCAGGGTGCGTGATGTAACGACGTCACGTTGTAATGTGATGGCATGACATCATGCATGCCCCCCAGCCTCGGAACCTGGCTTCCGGAGGCACCGGAAGTCTGGTTTGGAGGTCTCGGAAGCCCTTGGACACTATCTCCAAGGCCTCGTAGATGCTTTCTGGGGCCTCTCCAGGTCTTGGAAAGCAGCTTCAAGGCCTCAGAGATGCTGTTTGAGGCCTCACAAGACCTTGGAAGTTGCTTGGGGGCCCTGCTTTGTGGGTGCACAGGCACTCTGAGCCCCCCCCCCATACTTGGCGTTCCTGGCGGAGGATAAAGTAGTCTCTTGGGTCAAGGAGTTCCACCTATGGGGCACCATCTCTCTTCCTCTCCTATAGCCTGATGGGGGTAGGTTGGGGCAGGAAACACACCCTTCTGGTCTGCCCTTTCC